TTCTACTGTTTGCGTAGTATACATTTAAGTTAGTCGTGTTCTGAGTCCTCCCCTTACCGCGTTTAGTTTTAAACTCCCTGTCTAATTCAGTTTTGTCATCATTCCTAACACTATTTCCCTGTAATCTTTCACTTTGTTTACCCGCTCCCACTGCAGTCTCCTCCACCCCCGTGCTCATATGTTCTCCGAGCAGTTTAAAGACTTCGATATCTTTTGAACTGCCCCCTCTAGAGCCCCAGCCAGGGTTGCTACTCCATCCCTAGACAGGTGCACCCCATCCCTAGCATAAAGGTCCCTTCTGCCATAGAAGTTGTCCCAGTTGTCAATGAATGGGACTGATATTGACTTGCAATATCTGTCAAGACGGTCGTTGACACCAACCGCCCTTGACAACCATTCACTGCCAACTCTCCTTCTAGGCAGGACACGCATATGATAGGGATCCCTCCCTTAGTCCTAATACGATCTATAGCTGCCTTGAACTTATCAAGAAGCTCCTCACTCCTACACCGACCAATATCATTGCCTCCTGCACTGAGGCAGATAATGGGTTTGTTCCCATTACCAGACAAGATATTGTCCATCCTGTCAATTATATCCCCCACCCCAGCTCCTGGCAAACACACCCTCATCCTATTTTTGTTTTTACCACAAAAGGCCCTGTCCATGTACCTTACCTGTGAGTCACCAACAATTAAAGTTTTTATACCTTCCTTGTCATCCCTGTCCCTGACTGTACTAACGTCCAATTCGTCTATCAAGGGACTGAACGAGTTGGTACACTTAGCTGTTGTTGTCGTTGTTGACGTATCCTTGGTGTACTTCTTCACCACCAGCTTGGTCCTCCCATTACTCACAACTTTCCACTCGCTTGAGTTTTCGTCAGACACTGGCTTTACTCGTCCAGCCTCCCCTTTTAACTTCGCCAGCTCTTCTTTTAATTTCAGGTTCTCCAACGTGGCCCTCTCAATTTCTTCATTGGCCTTGGCCAATTTTTCCATGGACCACTCCAGTTTGGTCAACAAACTTTCGTCGTGGCCCTCGACATCTCCAAAGCATTTGACAGGGTATGGCACAAGTCTTTGCTATCTAAACTTCCCTCTTTTGGTTTCTCTCCCCCACTTTGTTCTCTCATCTCTAGCTTCCTTGAGAATCGATCCATGGCAGTTGTTGTCAAGGGATCGATTTCTCGCTCTTTCTCTACCAATAGTGGCGTCCCACAGGGTTCTGTTCTTTCACCAACTCTCTTTCTTCTTTTTATCAATGATTTACTTCACACTACAACTAATTCTATCCATTCTTACGCCGATGATTCTACTCTTCACTCATCCTCACATTTTCCCCTTCCTCCTAACTCTCAAACTAGATCTGTTTCTAGAACTGATATCATTACTTCTATCAACGCGGATCTGTGCAGCATCTCTGAATGGGGAGATACAAACTTGGTTAAGTTCAATAGTAACAAAACTCAATATTTACCAATTACACTTTGTAAAGTAGACGATCTCCCACCAATTACATTTCAGGACGCTATCATCCCCCCAAATTCTGAAATAAATATGTTAGGCCTCACCATTTCCTCCAATATGTCCTGGAAATCACACATCCTTAGTATAACTAAAGCTGCCTCCCGAAAGTTGGGAATGCTGTACAGATGCCGCAGCTACTTCACTCCTGAGCAGTTGCTCCAAGTATATAAGGGATTCATTCGTCCTGACTTGGAGTACTGCTCTCATATCTGGGGTGGCTCTTTTTCTGTCCAACTATTAGATAGGGTGGAATCAAAGGCATTTCGTCTTATTAACTCTCCTCCTTTAGTCGACAATCTCTCTCCCCTTTCTCTTCGCCGCAATGTTGCTTCACTCTCTCTCTTTTACAGGTACTTTAACGGGCAATGTTCAGGGGATTTGGCATCCTGTGTACCGCCGGTAAGGCCGTGGGTTCGTAACACACGTCTTGCCCGCGGTGCCCACCATTTCTCTGTGGATATCGGTCACACGAGAATAACCCGTTATAGTACCTCCATCTTTCCTCAGACAGCCAAACTGTGGAATGCTTTGCCTTCTTCTGTGTTTCCATGCTCTTACAATCTGCCTCACTTTAAAAAGCTGGTTTTCCGGCATCTTCGTGGTGTAGATTAATACAGTATAACCTTTTTTTCTATATTTTCAAATTCTTTCCGTTCTTTTTTTTCGCCCCCCAGGCTCCGTTGTGGGTAGTTTGACCTGTGCCCGGGTTGGCTAATTCCGTAAAAAAAAAAAAAAAATTGCAGGGTCTCAATTGTTTCTCTTAACATTGACAACACAACATACATATATATTGTTTCTCACTCTTTATCTTTTTTTTTATTTCTTTATGGTTCTTTATTATTATTATTATTACTATTATTATTATTATTATTATTATTATTATTATTATTTTTATTTTTGTATTTTTTTTAATTTTACTATTATTATTATTATTATTATTATTATTATTATTATTATTATTATTATTATTATTATTATTATTATTATTATTATTATTATTATTATTATTATTATTATTATTATTATTATTATTATTATTATTATTGTTATTTTTATAACATTTTCGCCCCCCAGGCCCCGATGTGGATCAGTGACCTGTGTCCGGGTGGGCTAATCCCAGAAAAAAAAGTATATATATATATATATATATATATATATATATATATATATATATATATATATATATATATATATATATATATATATATATATATATATTCCAGGATCTACACGAATATTGTGGTATTGGTCCTCTGAATGTGTTATAACCAGTAAAGGACCCGATATTCTTTTCCAGGATACCCCACCTACTCATATTCCTTATAAGTAGCCTTATCATACGTCCCGGATTAGCCGGGACAGTCCCGAATTTGAGCTCTTGTCCCAGGGTCCCGGTCGGTTGGTAAGATTGTCTCGGGAGAGAGCGAAAGAGTAGGTAGGTAGATAGATAGATAGCCCAGATCCCCTCTGTATCCTCCTCCCACCCCCTCCGCTCGCCACCCTTCCTCTACTGCATGTCTACGTTATATTCCTTCTGGACGCGTGAGGAACATTTCTTTTCCTAATCTCATGCATGTCATTGAATTTGTCTTTTGTTTGCCTGGAACATCAGCCCCTGTAGAAAGAGTCTTCTCAATTACGAACAATATTTGGTCCCAAGACCGTAGCCTCATGGCAGAGAGTACTGTTAAAGCCTTGCTTTCCTGCAAAGTTAATATTGATTTAACTTGCTCACAGATTTATGACAAAATAAGAAATGACAGAAAGATGCTAAAGAAAGAACTATCGAAAGAGAAGTATGGATGGTCAAAGACAAAGGAAAATGAGTAAATTGTGTTTTATTGTGGTATAGTATACTTGTGTATATATGATTTACAACTTATTGCAATTTTTCTTTTTATGGTGTTTAAAACAAAGGAATTTAGCTGATATTTTTCATTAGTATGTTCCTGAACATTTTTTCCATGTAAAAAGTCAAAGTAGAAGGAATATTATTTTAACTTGCGTAGGCCGCACCTCGATTATGCGGTTCAGTTCTGGTACCCTTATTATAGAATGGATATCATGAATTCACTAGAGTCGGTGCAGCGAAGAATGACGAAAATGATTCCGGGACTTAGAAACCTTCCATATCAGGATAGCTTAAAGAAACTAAACTTGCATTCCCTGAAAGACGAAGAGTGCGGGGAGATATGATAGAAGTATTTAAGTGGGTGAAAGGAATCAATAAAGGAGATATAGATAAAGTTCTTATAATATCCGAGCAGGATAGGACTCGGAGCAACGGATTCAAGTTGGATAAGTTTAGGTTTAGGAGGGAGATAGGAAGAAACTGGTTCACAAATAGGGTGGTGGATGGGTGGAACAAGCTTAGCAACTTTGTAGTAAGTGCTGGAACGCTGGAAAATTTCAAAAAGAATGCTGGATGGATTCATGGATGATAGAGAGTGATAGTAACTCTCGACAGGAGCTGCCATGCATAGGCCAACCGGCCTATTGCAAACTCCTTACTTTCTTATGTTCTTATGCTCTTAAAGAAAGTACTACATAGTGACATGTATGGCTGGTCAAACAAAACAGTATATTGCAGAAAGAATGCAATTTGTATTTACTTTGTGAATTATATTATTTGCAACTTATTAAAAAAATTCTTTAAATTATGTATGAAACAAAGGAATTTAGGTTTAGCTGATATTTTCCATTATTATGTTCCAGAAAATATTTTTTTTCCGTTTAAAAATACAAAGTAAAAGGCAAATATATGGAGTATAATACCATAGCCTCATTTAATTAATCCTTATCCCGGTTTGGGCATAAAAAATTATGGTAAGCCTACTTATAAGAGTTTTAGTTTAACAAATTTTTGACAAAGCTTGGCGATGATGAAAGACGTTCCTCCCTCCCTCACGGCCTCACCGTCCTGCCATCCTGGTTCCCTGGGTCAGTTCCCTCCTTCAATAGGACCTGTACCTGAAAAGTGTTGGACAAACATGTATGGTAGACATGTTTTTTATAAAGATTAAGTGGATGTGATAAGTATTAGGCCATCTACATATGCCATTTTCTTATTTTTCTGTATACCACTAACCTAGTTTACACAACACTTTAGATATATAGGACTTAAATATTTACTGAAACCCTGAGCGAGAGTAGGTCCTTAATTGATGAAATGTCAGGGGTACCATAATGTATGTATACTTCCAGGAATTATAAATGCTTAAATAATTATTTCATATAGCAATTTACCTCAATTTATAATTATATTCATACAATATATATATGATTTGAATACATATATTCCTTATACAAGTAAGGTATACACACGAAGATTTCAACGCATCTTACGTTGGTAGCTCTGTTGTGGATTAGCTCCTCCTACTACTGAGTTTCGGACACATGTGACATAGAAATAACTTGTACGTAGACGGTGTGAGTCTCGAATGTTTGGGCTGAACCTGACCGAATGGTGTGGGTTCACGACGCTCCTCGCCTCAGTGTTGATCCTGTGGGGTATTGTATCTTCGGAAGCTGTTTAGTGACGGAATTTTGAGTCCTATAAGGTGTTTGAAGATCTCGCATCGCTGGGTACATCATGTCGGCCATTAAATATATTGGAGGATTGAAGGCATATCTGGCCGCAGGGGAATGTGTAAACGAAAGTTCGATCTTTAGACTGCATTATCAGTTCACTGTAGTGCTTTTAATTGGTGCATCAATTTTGCTGACTGCCGCAGAATTCTTTGGTTTACCCATTAACTGCATTACAAACCTGGATCAAAAGAATGTCATCAACACGTATTGTTGGATACACTCGACGTTTACTATACAAGATTACTATTTACGGTAAGTCCATAGTATTAAAAATCACTACAATTTAGCGTGTGGCGAAGTACTATATAATCAATAAGGGTACAGAACACTACCAGGAGGCTTAGCTTCATCCTAAACGGTATCTGGTTGACTTTACATGTTGATAGAATCTCAGTTTTATATCGTAAATCCAAGAATTTCTAGTATTTTTTTTTAGCTGCTCATGTCAGTTTATATTCATTTGTTTTCAAGCAGTATAACTTATCCTAAGCGCTCCTGTAGCACCACATCTCTAAAGTCACTTTGCCTATGATCTGTACAATAGCAAAAGAAGAGTGGGTCATCGAGGACGGTTTGGTAACTAACTTCATTGTACTCTATAGGTACTGCCTCCTCTCCCCCAAGCCGACTTGTGAAAGAGACCTAGGCTAGGGGTACTTGTAAGCCCTGACCTACGGCCTAGAAAACAGTGCGTTAATGTTCGAAATAATGCAAACAGAGTATTGGGTTTTATATCTAGAAGTGCAAGTAACAAGAGTGCAGAGGTCTTATTACAACTATATCTTGTGCTAATCAGGCCGCACCTCGATTGTGCGATTCAGTTCTCGTGCCCTTATTATAGAATGGATATAAATTCACGAGTTGGTGCAGCGAAGAATGACAAAAATGATTCCGGGACTTAGAAACCTTCCATATCAGGATAGGTTAAAGAAACTAAACTTGCATTCCCTAGAAAGACGAAGAGTGCGGGGAGATATGATAGAAGTATTTAAGTGGGTGAAAGGAATCAATAAAGGGGATATAGATAAAGTTCTTATAATATCCGAGCAGGATAGGACTCGGAACAACGGATTCAAGTTGGATAAGTTTAGGTTTAGGAGGGAGATAGAAAGAAACTGGTTCACAAATAGGGTGGTGGACGAGTGGAACAAGCTTAGCAGCTTTGTAGTAAGTGCGGGAACTCTGAAAAGTTTCAAAAGGAGGCTAGATAGATTCATGGATGATAGAGAGTGGTAGTAACTCTCGACAGGAGCTGCCATGCACAGGCCAACCGGCCTATTGCAGACTCCTTATTATTCTTATGTTCTTATGTTTCTTATGTTCTAGGTCTCTTTCACAAGTCGACTTCTCTAGGTTGATGTTGTTAAGGCTGTATACATTGACAGTATTTGTTCTTCCAATATTAAGTACGCTGCACTTGCTGGTGTTGAATTTCATTTGCCATTTGCCAGTACTAGGCCCACTCTTGTTCATAATCTACATAAACGATCTAGATACTGGGATCAGCAGTGACATAAGCAAGTTTGCGGATGACACCAAAATAGGGCTGCAGATTAATTCAGGGCAGGATGCAAATGCATTACAGGAGGATCTAAATAAACTGCAGGGGTGGTCTGAAAAATGGCAAATGAAATTCAACACCAGCAAGTGCAGCGTACTTAACATTGGAAGAACAAATACTGTCAATGTATACAGCCTTAACAACATCAACCTAGAGAAGTCGACTTGTGAAAGAGACCTAGGGGTACTTGTAAGCCCGGACCTACGGCCTAGAAAACAGTGCGTTAATGTTCGAAATAAGGCAAACAGAGTATTGGGTTTTATATCTTGAAGTGTAAGTAATAAGAGTGTAGAGGTCTTATTGCAACTATATCTTGCCTAGTCAGGCCGCACCTCGATTATGCGGTTCAGTTCTGGTGCCCATATTATAGAATGGATATCAATTCACTAGAGTCGGTGCAGTGAAGAATGACGAAAATGATTCCGGGACTTAGAAACCTTCCATATCAGGATAGGTTAAAGAAACTTAACTTGCATTCCCTAGAAAGACGAAGAGTGCGGGGAGATATGATAGAAGTATTTAAGTGGGTGAAAGGAATCATTAAAGGGGACATAGATAAAGTTCTTATAATATCCGAGCAGGATAGGACTCGGGGCAACGGATTTAAGTTGGATAAGTTTAGGTTTAGGAGGGAGATAGGAAGAAACTGGCTCACAAATAGGGTGGTGGACGAGTGGAACAAGCTTAGCAACTTTGTAGTAAGTGCTGGAACTCTGGAATGTTTCAAAAGGAGGCTAGATAGATTCATGGATGATAGAGAGTGGTAATAACTCGCGACAGGAGTTGCCATGCACAGGCCAACCGGCCTATTGCAGACTCCTTATTTTCTTATGTTCTTAAGTTGTATCTCTGATTATTCCGGAACTGGAAATGATTATTGTTAAGCAAGTGATTGATAGATTTGTAAACAAAGAGGGCACAGCAGTAGGTGTTAATATCTTCGAATTTTAAAAATTTCAATATAAGCAAATTTTTCGTTTGTGTGATCTGTTTTTTTTTCAAGTGGGTCATTGTCCGTACAACTCTCTTCAGTAACAACAGAGATTGTGTTTTTGAAGAGCCAGAGGCCCCCCATAGTGTGTGACAGTGTATCAGGATTTGGTAAACAAGATCATGATAGATTTTTCATTGCTGTGAGAGTGAGTGACTGTCGAGTGTAATACATGATACCGCACTGTTTATTGATTTTACTGTGAATGGCCAGTTAAGTTTCTCATCAGCAATAACTCCAAGGAATTTAGTATTTTGTTCGCATTTGAGGACTATATTACCAAAGTACAGGGGGGTCCAAGTCTGGGGGTAAGTTTTTCCTTCTATGAAAGATCGTGTAGTGGGTTTTCTCGAGGTTTAAGGTCAGCTTATTACGTATTACCCAGGTCCCGACTTTAGTTAATTCAGTGTTCATAGTTCTCATCAAGGAATGGAGGTCTGAGTTGGTGGCACAGAGATTACTATCATCTGCAAATAAGTTGTATTTTATGAGTGAGCTGGCGTGGACATGTCGTTTATGTACAACAAAAACAGTACTGAACCGAGAATGGAACCTTGGGGGACTCCATACAAGATTGGCGAGGAGTCAGATTGGTGGTTATTATAGCAGGTACTGCATCCTGTTGGACAGATATGAGGTAAACCAATTGTGGGACAGGCCCCTAACGCTGTAATGTTCAAGCTTTGAAAGGAGGATGGTATGGTCGACAGTATCGAAGGCTTTAGAGAGGTCCAAGAATATACGACTGTGAACTGACTGTCATCAAAGGAATTTAAGATGTCATTAGTAAAGAATAGCAGAGCACTCTCAGTCGACCTTTCTTGCTCTAAATCCAAACTGGGAGTCTGTAAAGATGTTATTGGCATTGCAGAAGGACTTAAGTCTATTACATGCAAGCTTTTCCAGCATCTTACTCAAGGCTGGGAGGACTGATATGGGGCGGTGAGAACATAAGAATGGAGGAAACTGCAGTGGGCCTATTGGCCCAAACTGGGCAGTCCCGTTTATACCCAACCCCTATTGCTCATATAAGCATCCAACCTATGTTTGAAGCTATCCAGCGTATTCGAGTTAATGATGATATTTGGTATCTTGTTCCATTCATCCACTACTATGTTTCCAAACCAGTGTTTGCCTATTTCATGCCGAAATCTAAATTTGTCTAATTTAAAACCATTGTTACGAGTTTGCTCCTGGTTGGATAGTTTGAGTACCTTTGTAATGTCCCCTTTGTTTAACCCTGACTTCCATTTATACACCTCTATCATGTCGCCCCTCACTCTACATCTCTCGAGGGAGTGCAAATTAAGATGCTTTAATCTGTCTCTGTACTCAAGGTTCCTAATGCCCGGGATTAGTCTTGTCATTCTCCTCTGGATTCTTTCCAAGGATTCTATATCCATTCTGTAATACGGCGACCAGAACTGAACTGTGTAATCCAGGTGAGGTCTCACAAGCGCTAGATATAATTTTAAGATGACCTCGCTAGTCTTGTAACTAACACTCCTTTGTATGAACCCAAGTACTTTATTAGCCTTGTTACAAGCAAAAACACATTGTTTACTTGGCTTAAGATTCCTACTTATCATTACTCTTAAATCTCTCTCGCAGTTGGATTCCACAGTGGCATCGTTGTTCATCTGGTAACTGGTTTCCCTGTTTACATCTCCTATACTGAGTACTTTACATTTGTCCACATTGAATTTCATCTGCCATTTTTCCGACCATTCGAAAAATTTGTTTAGATTTTCCTGTAGTTTTGCAGTCCTCGTCAGATTTAATTACATGTCCTATTTTAGTGTCATCAGCAAATTTACTTATGTTGCTGTCTATGCCGATATCTATGTCGTTTATGTATACAGTAGTTGTGAGTGTGTGTAAAGTACAGTCGAGTATGGTACTGTACACTTTTAACCTCATAAGTAGTGGTAGAATGATTTGATAAAATGAGTACTTTACAATGTCTATCTTTAAGTACACCATAATGATTTAATATAAGGAGTACAATGCCTACCTATGAATATAATGAATTTATATTTTAAATACCCTGTATATAAAATGAGTATAATTGGTACATTAATTACAATACATATGGTACAATGAGTATAAGTAATAATATTGAGTATAATATTGTCTGTAAATACTTGTGCTGTATGTATAATGATGAATAACATTGATATTTTGTCTAATGATTACAATGAGTATTGTGATTGTTATGTGTATAATGAGTGTGATTGATATATGGTAAGTATAATTAAAAAAGTATGATGATTAATTTAATGAGAATAATAAACACAATGAGTATGACGAATATATACAATGTGCATGATGAGTATAAGATGATTGTCATGATGAGCATAATGATTACTGTTAGGTTAGTCAAATTTTTGCTGTGAATTCCTTTGTTTGTGGCAGTTCTTGCTGGAGGGGTACTGTATAGGCCTAGTCCATATGTCTGCAAATGTATCCTCCAACAATGATTGGAATCTGACCAATTTCAGAAATGCCTGGGCATTTTGGGCATTCTTATAATGCATGCCATTTTAGCAATTCCCATAATACCAAGGGCTATTCTGGAGGTGTACTGTGGATGTTATGTGAATTGTTTTCATAAAGGGAATCCTGTACAGTACTTTATTATATCCACCACTAGTTAATTCTCTATTTAAACTGTACAAGTTCTGTATACTGAAATTAATT